AAATCCAGTGGCATTCAAACTGAGGAAGTCTTGCTTCCCTATTTGGTTCATTTCCCTCTTCCCTGTAAAGAGGACTTTTTTTTTTTTTTTTTGAAAGGTTTTGCTACAGAGTGTTTGCGCTTGCCAGAAAGACAGAGAGAGACAGAGAGACAGAAAGCGAGAAATCACCCCCTGGAGGGATGGCCACACCGCAATCCCTTCTCCTCCATTCTCCCCTCGGGATCTTGGGCATGCACGCACGTGCACATGCGCACCTGGTGTAAGCTTCAGCCACTGGGACCAGGACTCGAACTGTGGTCGACTAGATGGGAGTCCAGCAACATAGCCATTATGCCAACTGCTGGTTCTAAGAGGACTTTTTTTGGGGTCAACTTTTAAATTTTATTTAATTTTGGGGCTAGAGGGAGCATGGTAGTTAAGGACACTGGACTCCCACATGATTGACTATGGTTTCAGTCCCAGACCTGGCGGCTTGCTCTCTCACTTTCCCCCTCTCTCTCTTGCACTGTCCCTCTCTGGTCAAATTAAAATAAATTTTAAAAAATCAATAATTAAATAAAGTTAAATAAAACAATTCTTTAACAATTTATTTAATTAAAAATAATTACTTAATTTTCTTTCTTTCTTTATTATTATTTAATTTGCTATAGGGTATGTGTGTTCACCAGAGAGAGAGAAAGTGAGGAAAAAAAACCACAAGGTCCAGGACTCAAACTGCAGTTGGCCCTATGGGAATCCAGAGCCCTAACCACCATGCCACCTGATGGCCTTAACTTTTCTTTTTTCAGTTTTAAAATTCATTGTTATTATTATTAAATTTAAATTTGCTATAGGGTATGAACAATCCCCAGAGAAAGACAGACTGAGAGAGAGGGAAAGTGAGAAAGCAAGCCACCAGCTTCAAAACTCAAACTGTAGTTGGCCATGTGGGAGCCCAGTGCCCCAACCACCACACTACCTGCTGGTTCCCCAACTTTTTAAAAAAAATTTGTTATAGGACAAATTTGTACTTGCTGGAGAGAGACAGAGAGAGGAGAAGTGAAAAATTGCCCTGCAGGATGTATGGCCACACCAAATCACATTCTGGTCACGCATTCTTCTCTCTGACCACATATTCTTCTCTCAGGGTTTTGGGCGTGCATGCACATGCACCTGGCATGTTTTTCAAGAAAGAGACAGAGAGAAATGGGGAGAAAGCACCCTTAATGGGGCATAGTCACACCACAATCTCTTTGTTTCTCCATCCTGTCAGGATTGTAGGCTCACATGTCCAATACATTTTTCAACCTGCTGAGGCCAGGATTTGAATTGTGGTCAGCCATATGGGATCTGATTCCTATGTGGACAGCCTGTGATTTTTTTTTTTTTTAGAATTATTTATTTTAATTTTATTTATCTTTTCTTTCTTTCTTTCTTTCTTTCTTTCTTTCTTTCTTTCTTTCTTTCTTTCTTTAAATTTGACCAGAGAGAGACAGGGAAGGAAAGTGAGAAAGCAAGCCACCAGATCCAGGACTCGAACTGCAGTTGGTCATGTGGGAGCCCATGTGGGAGCCCAGTGCCTTAACCACTACTCTACCTGGAAGTGATCTTTTATTTCATTTATTTTATTTTATTTACTTTATTTTATAAACTGTTGTTTATTTTCCTAACCAACCTTATTTCCACTTTGTATAAGAGTCTGTGAAGAGCAGACTTAAGACCACTCAGGGGTTGTTCCCACCCATTCAGTGGCCTGAGCAGTGGGGGTTGCAGGCCAGTCTTTGGTGGAGGCTGAGCACTCCAGTCCTCAGTAGGGAGCTGCCGGGTGGGCACAGAGGGCACCTGCATGCCTTCAGACCAGTCTGCGACCTCAGGCTGAGCAGCAGTCAACTCAGGAGCTGGAGCAGTCCGTTCACCCCGACATTCCTCCTTGGTCACAGCCTTTTCAGCTGCAGCCTGCTCCTCCTCTTCAATCTCTTCAGGATCTCTGCAGAAGTAGAGCTCAGGCCTGACCTCCCACGGGCGCTCACGGGAGATGGTGCCATACATGCGCAGCACCTCCCTGGCCAGCATCCACCGCATTGGACCTACTGAGTGAGCTCCCTTGTTGTTGCCTGGGATGGCGATGTCCACACAGTGCAGAGGGGAATCTGTGTGCACAGGGCAATGGGAGGTGGATTAACAAGACGCCTCTGTGAGAGGCTGGGGGTTGGCCCTGGGATCAGTCACCACCAGAAGACGCGGCTCCAGGAAGGCCGCCTGGATCTGGTTAGTGAAGGTTCCAGGAGTGAAGGACCAGCACTAGGAGTGGCTCCAGCGGCAGCAGCGAACTTCAGCGCAGCCCTCTGTCCCGTAGCTAGTGACTTCCATACTGGTATGGAGTATAACATGCAAACCAGCTTGCAATGAAAGACGAAGTTGGAAGTTGGAGTGACAGAGCAGGGCATCTGGACTGCGAGGGATAATGGTCCGGAGTTTGCATTTTATTCCAAATGCCACGGAAAACTGACAAGGAGTTATTTAAGCTGAGAAGTGAAGTGTTTCATTTTTTAAAAGATCACGTCAGGGGGTTGGCAGGTGGCAGAGTGGTTAAGGCTGGACTGCCCCACAGCTGATGGAGATTTGTGTCCTTGGCTGGTGGCTTGCTTTCTCACTTTCTCTCTCTCTCTCTGTTTCTCTCTGGTCAAATTAAAAATAATAAAACAAAACAAAATAAAATAATTCTTTTAAAAGAATCACCATGGGGGGACCAGCAGTTGGCGTAATGGCTATGTTGCTGGACTCCCATGTAGTCGACTGTGGTTTGAGTCCTGCACCCGGAGGCTTAAACTCACACCAGGTTTGTGTGTGTGCGTGCCCAAGATCCCAAGAGGAGAATGGAGGGGAAGGGATTGTGGCGTGGCCATCCCCCCTGGGGGGTGATTTCTCGCTTTCTGTCTCTCTGACTCTCTCTGTCTTCCTGGCGAATGCACGCACCCTATAGCAAAAACCTCTCCAAAAAGAAAAAAAAAAATATATCACCACAGGGCCAGTCAGTAGTGTGGTGTCACCAGGTCCAGAACTCAAACCACAGTTGGCCATGTGAGAGTCCAGGTGCCAGATCTCACATGGCTTACTTTGTAGTTTGAGTCCCACTGCTGGCAGCTTGAAAAGCACCCTGGGCACATGTGTGTGTGTGCCCACAATCCCAAGAGGAGAATAGAAGGCATGGATGAGAAGGGAATGCAGTGTGGCTCCCCCCTGGGGGGTGATTTCTCTCTCTCTCTCTCTCTCTCTCTCTCTCACACACACACACACACATATCAGAGGCAACCCACACAGCCTATAGCAAAGCTTACGCACACAAGCACACGCATACACGCACAGTCACCTGGGCTTCTATGAGGAGAATAGATTATGAGTATGGGGATGGACCTGGACTGGGAGGGATCTTGGTCTGAAGTTTGCATTTTATTCCAAATGCTGTGGAAAACTGGCAGGGGGTTATCCACTTCACCTCCTGGAGTGAAGCAGGAAGACCAGCATGGAGGTGGCTGCAGTTTCCCAGGGAAGAGAATGATAGTGGCTTTAGCCAGAAAGACAGACAAATTCAGAGCAGAGCTGGGCAAGGGGTGGGGGTGAGGGAGGGGGAGGAATACCAGAGCCGCTCGATGCTGATGGTTCCCCAGGGCTGAGCCCACACCCCGGGCCAGGCAGTAAATTCCACCAGGACTTACTGGCCTCCTGGCCCCCACCTGCTGGCCGATGCAGGAAGTGCCCTTAATTAGAGCAGTCCAGGAGCCATCAGGGTTTCTGGGGAGGATCCTAGGGCCAGACCCGAGAGGTGGGCAGGTTCCCCACGCTGCCGCCTGGACAGGGTCGCGATCCCAGGATCCCAGGGCATCTCCCCAGCTAAGCTTCTCCTCTCCCCGAGGTTTGCACATCATCTCTGTCCCTGACGATGGGGGAACCAGGATGGGGCATCTCCAGCCAAACACCTTCTGGGAGGCACGTGGTGGTGGGGAAGGGGTAGGAGCAGATGTCGGGGTGGAGGAGTGAGACCCCCGACCACGCCAGCTCCCCGCAGACACTATGCGCGCGCCAGGGCTGCCTCGGATCACCACCCCCCCCACCTGCGGCCTCCGCGGTTGCAGAGTTGGGGGGGCACCCGGGGCGGAGCGTGTCTCCCCAGAGCAGGGTGTGGCCAGTGGTCCAGATGGTCAGTCTCTGTGGCCAGCCGGTGGTGGCGGAGGAGAGTCAAACCCTACTCCGCGCCGTGCAGGCTGGCGGGCCGGCTGGGGTGGGGAAC